CTTGGGCCAGCCGGATAGCTCAGCAGACTAAAGTGCCTACTTAAGCAAGCACAGGGACTGGGGTTCAATCCCTGGCATGCTGGCCTTGCCCCTGGGGTGCGCTGAGACAGTGGCTGAGACTGGGCGTGGTGGCCTGTGCCTGTACTCCCAGCACTTGGGAGGTTGAAAACAGGAGGATCACTACAAGTCTAATCTGTGTAGTGAGACCCTGTAAACCTTGTACTAAAAATACAAAACAAACAAAGAATATTCCTTCTCCTGAGTTACCAGCTGGTCCAAGTGATAAAAAAAAAAAATTGGTTTACTCATAGGTCATCAAAAATTAGGCTAATTAAACAAAAATCTCTTAGAGTACAGAGAGATTATTGGTCAGAACTCCCAATTGGTGAGTGGAGAGATGGCCAACCTCTGTTCATTAATAAGGATCCCCCAGTAATGTCCGGAGTCTCTTGAGAGACATCCCCAATAATTGACCATTGCAAAAGATAGGGATTTTTTTCAGAAAAAAGTTGCAATAAGGTTTTCACATGTGTATGACAATTCATTAATGTTAATCTTATGCTGTCTTAAATGTATTCATGATTCTAGATGTACAGGTCTTCCAAAATATAAGAGAGATTCCTTATTGTGATAAGACTTTTCTTGTGTATCCCATTAAAGGGTGACAAATTAGGTGAAAGCTGCTTATGTATTAGGTAGAGATGACTGGTTAAAATGGTTTTGTTATGTCAAAATGAAAATCTAAGTATGTCACAAAATGTCATCAGGATTGTCATGCTGCAATGTCATGTATGGTTTTGATTTCTAAATTTATGTGTAAAAATATGCAACTCTTATCTGTTACTATTGTATAGGGATTTAAACATTAAGATAGACATGTTTGTTAGAAAATAACAGTTCCATTTTATGTCTTATGTGTTTGATATTCAGATAGATAGTAATATTAAGCTTACTTCCTGCATTACAGGGTAATGTCCTTGAGCTTCTCTTCTGGATGTTTAATGACTGAGGTTTAGAGGCCAAAAATTAGAGCAAGGGGCTGGTGAGATGGCTCAGTGGTCTAAAGCACCTACTTAGAACAAGCTAAGCTAAGCAAAGCACAGGGACAGAGGTTCGGTCCCCCAGCACCACATGCCAGCCAGCCCTGCCCCCTGGTGGGCTGAGCTGGCCACACACACACACATACACACACACACACACACACACACACACACAATGTATTAATTATTGAAACTATCCTTTTAATCAGTTTTGAAACTATCTCATTGCTGTTTCTCAATAAAATTAATTATAAAATTAAAAATATATTAAAAAAAACAAAAATTAGAGCAATAAATGGGTTAAGAAGATAGCCAATATTTTGGCCCTAGCCATCCAAGGTCAATGAGGTCTCCGGACCTAAGAGAACCTCTGCTGTGATATCCTGTAACTCAGTTGAGTCCCTGATCTTCTGATCAAGGAGATTATGGGACCACAGAGGAAAGTGAGTCCCCAATGTATACTGTGCCTAAGGAGTCACCTAGAGTGAAAATAACTCTCAGGCTTTCACAGAAAGCAGCTTGGTCAAGCAATGGCCATGACTCATTCAGATGGTGGACACTGATAGATCTAAAGAGGTGCTGTACATGGTTCCAAGGTAAATCCTGAGGACATTGAACTGACCTTGTTAGGTAGTGAAAGGTTAATTTTTTATTTATATAGGTCTTGCTTTAAGTTGATATTAATCATCCAGCAGAAAAATGTAACCATGAGATGCAAAAAAGCAATGACAGAATAATATGCTAGCTATAAAAGGTCCAAAGTACTAACAACTTCTGACAGCTGCCAACTCTACTGTTCACTCACTACTGTTATGGCCTATTGGATTATATAGGATTAAATGGCTAAATACAGATACCAAAAATCTTTGGACTGGCATTAAAAGTAAAAAGGTCCTCTAAAGAACTCTCCCAATACATCTTCTCCAACTGCAGTGCAACACCACCGTTCACACAGCAAAACAGGAAAGGGAGAGATGTTGGGAGCCCTGAAGCTGGAAATTGATCATATGGGGGAGGGCAGAACAAGGCCAGCATGCCTAAAGCAGTCAAGCTACCTCAGTCTTGAGAAAAACCTCCTGTCTGGTCAATTTCAGCAATTAGTTGCTAGGCAACCTTGTGTTTCCTAATACTAGTTCTGCAAAGGCATAAATAAATGCCTTTACTGTTGTTTTGAGATCCTTTGGCAACCAGGCATGGGCCACCACCCGACCCAACTCTTTTCTTCTTGTCTATTTTTTCTCCATTTCTGCTGCCATTTCTCTGTGGGGTATACTGGGACACCAACAAATCCCCACAGATAGTGACCTCTGTGGTTGCTCTCCTGCAGCCTGAGTGTGGCAGGGCAGGGCTGGTCCTGTGTTCCCCAGTTCCTCCTCCTACCTGGGGTTTGCCATCTCCTCTAACGAGTCACAGGACCACATTCCCAGCCTAGGCTGGACACTCTTATACCTCAGCAGCCCCCATAGGGTCCTCACCACATGGGTCCCAGCCTCTACTTTGTGGGACAAGCTGTACCCCAAAAGCTGATGGGTACCTCTGAATGAGTGTCTAAAAGAGCTGTAGGATGATTACCTCTGTCCCTGTCATCAGTAAGGTTTTTTTTCTGCAGAAGCAGCCCTGGCTCTAGTCACAGGACAGAATGGCTGAAGAGTAGTGGGGGGGAGGGCTATAGCTGTAGGTGGCCATGGGGCTTTGAGTCTGTTGGAAACTGTTTTACCTCAATTCCTCTGCCACCTCAAAGAGGGAGAGAGCTGGGGATGGGAGGTGCACTGCTTCACCACTGTTGGTCAGATGTGGAGCCCTTTGTCCTGTGTCAACCCAGCCTGTCTGGGACCAGTCCAGGTGTTCCTCAAGGGCCAGAACACACTGCTGACACCTGGAACCAGGGTGTGGCTATGAAAAGTCATGCTTGCTCACTCTGTCCTTGCAGATTGTCTTGGCCACTCCTTCCCGGACAGTGACAAGGCACGCTATCTGCCCGTGGTCCTGAGCCAGCCACAGGTTGGTTGGGGTGGACTTACTACCCATCTTTCAACCTCCCATCCCTCCCTCCTACCCTGTTTCATCCACACCGTGCCAAGCATGTGTGAGGGGCATTTCTGGAAGTGGAATCCTGACCCTTTTCCTTCTCCTTACACAGTGGCTGTAGATGCCATGCTCCAGGAAGACCTGGATGCTGCTGTTGCCAGCCTCCCTGCAAAGTCTCTCTTCTGCAGCACCACTTCTGTGATGTCTCCTTCCAAGAATCGCACCAGGTGAGGCCCAGGGACCCTACTCTATAGGAGTTTTCAAAATGTGGCAAAGATGTGAAGTGCAACCTTGACTAACGTTGCTTGCTGGTCACACCACCAGCAGCTTCCACTTTTGTCATTTAGACAATGGCAGGATTGACAGCTCTGTGGTAGTGTAAGAAGGTGTCCCCAGCCACTGTTGGGGCCACACCCCAATCTCTGTGCACTGGTCAGAGGGTCATTGTGTCTCATATCTGCATGCTGGACTTTCCAGGCACCCTCCCTCGCCCCCCTGTGTAAACCCCAGCCCTACCCCTCCACCCCGACCCAGGCTCAGCCAGCCTTTTCTGCTGTTTGATTTCCAGACTCTAAAGAGGGATTTCACTTGAATCATAAACCAGAAAGGCTGTTAGTACATCCAGGGTGAGAGACTCCCTGAGAAAGTCACCAAAGCCAAGCAGTGAGCTCTGGGCCCAACGGGGCCTGATACCTACCCTTGGGCTTGGCCAGCTGAAGGCCACCAAGTGGCCTTTGTTTTATCTTGTGTCTGTTGTGGTGACCAAGGCTGGCTGGCTAGCTGGTGCTGATGATGCAAGGTGGCATTGTGGGGCTGAACCTGGGTACCGGAGACTTTTGTCCTGCCTCCCCATGCAGCAGTCCCCTCTACAACTTGTCCTCATGTGCTTGCCACCTTCTCAGTGGGTGTGGGGAGGGTAGTGACTATGGGAGGGGCCACTACAGAATGCCCCTCAGTGGCGTGGGAACACACTGAAGATCCATGTTCTGTAGGTGGGTGGCTGTGGCTGTGCCCTTGTTTACCCTGAGACCTGGGCTGGACTTGGGCTAGGGACCTGTCCCCAGTCACACACACAGTCCCCACAGTCTCCTGGTCTGCTGGTCTGCTGCCTAGTCTCCAGCACCATGGACAGCACCACCTAGCCATGACTTATTGAAGGCTCCAAGGTGACTTGAGACAAGACAGAGGTAAATGCCATGTCCAGGGCCCTGTGCTCAGACCTGAGCCTGACTCCATGGCACTGTTGGGTAGAAAGAGAGTGGGGAGAGGTAAGAATGGTTCCCACGGCTCGGTAGGAGCTGTGGCTAAAATTTTGGCATGGAGAAAGTGCATTCAGTCTAAAGCTCTCCCAGCTGAGGTATTTTGGCCACTAGAAAAAGCATCCAGGAGAGAAGGAGTAAGTGAGTGAATGAGTGCTGCCCTCCTACGCTGAGATATGGGGACTTCACCAGCCATCAGCCTTTTTGTTTTGTCTTAAACAAACATTAGCCACTTTAGGAAAATGAAAACAGCAGTGTTCAATGCTTCTCAGAAATAACCTCGGGCATCATCAGACTGTGACCCAACAGGAATGGTCTCTCTGGGCCCTCTGTGATGCTCCTGGATGTGCCATCCCCTTGGGAAAGACAGGCACCTTCTTCCTGGTCTTCAAGGGCCTCCATAGACTGGGCTTCCTGCAGTTGCCACACAGAGGCCCCTGCAGGCAGTGGGACGCCCCTGCCTTGTTGCCAGCTGGGACCCCTTGATGCTGCCCTAGTCATTGTGGATTCATGGGGTGGCAAACAGTCATGTAGTTGTATCCAGGGAACCTGGTGAGGTGGCGTCGAGCACTACTGAGGCTGTCCAGGCCTAGAGTTCCCAAAATGTCTTAACTCCTGTTTGGGGGTGTTCTAGACCCCAGGAACAGCTGGGAGCAGCAACCACATGGCCTCACTCAGTGCAGAGCATGTAATGAGGTTGGGTTTGAATGGCTACAGGCTGGGCAGTCCCCATCCCCACCCCAGCTGCTTGGGTCCTGGCCCCTCAGCAGCCACTGCTGTCCTGCAGCTTCAAGGCAGTATCCAGCTGCGTGTTCTCCCTCCTGCGTCGGGCCAGTAGCTGAGCCAGTGCGGATGCTGGGAGCCACAGAAGGGGCAGGAAGGACAGGAGCAGGCAGACAGCCTGAACCCAGTGAGGGTAGATCTTCTCCTCCTGAGAAGGGAACAGCTCCTGGGGGCAGGAAGGCATGCTCAGTCAGTGTCACCTGGCCCCAGGAGTGGTGCCCCCTTTTCCCATCCTGAGCCCAAGAGCGAGTGGCATGAGTTACTCCTGGCAGGGAACCATGGAGATGCGGCCCAGGTTTCATGGTCCCCACTATGCCTTGATTTCTCCTCTGAGATGCCTCTGGGTGCCCTGGGTACCTCTGGGGGCTCTGTGTGGATTCACACAATTCTTCAGGGGGCCCCATTCCCACCCTTGCTACTCCCAGGCTTGGAGAGAAGTTTGATGCCATTCTAGGAGGGGCATTGAACTGAGACCCTGTGCTGTACCCTGCTTGCCAGGCTAAGGGGCACAAGAACTCTCTGGGGACCTGCCTGTCACAGCAAGCAGTTTTCCCTGCTTTCTGCAATGCACAGCAAATGTGGGGTGAGGCCCAGTCCCTGAGGGGGGCAGAGGCAGAAAACCCTGGAGTGCAGTCTGTGGGGTCCCCATGTGCCTGACCCAGGCCCACACCCATGTCTTGGGGTTACAGAGCTGACTTTTCCCCCCTAAGGATCTTAGAGCCTGTAGGCTGTAGGCTTCACAGTGAGCCTGTGTCCCCACCTGCCAGAAGCGGCAAGGCCTCATCACCAACAGGGCAGTGTCCATGTGTGAGTCCCCCACCCTGCCAGTCACTCCCAGAGTCTCAGGCACCCAGCATGCAGGGAGGACCTACATATTGGGGATTCCAGGCCTTGTAGCTGGGTGATCTGTGGGTCAGCAGGACAATGTAGGATAGGAGGATGCCCAGAAGCAGCAGGGGGCTCACCACCCACCACGACACTCTCCAGTAGAGGTTGGGCCACCGCCCAGTCATCCACTCAATGTCAGCACAGAACCTGCATGGGACACAGGCACAGGTGCACCCAGTGGACGTTTGCCCTCAGAGGGTGGTCAGGGTGGCAGGAACATCACCTCTGGGCAGCAGCTGGGGGCCTTGCCACAGCCCTGTGCTGCCCATCCTCCAGGAGGAAAGCAGCTCACCGTTTCATGCCATACACATAGACGACCCCAACCACCTCCAGGAAGGCAAAGATGACCAGGTTCAGGGATGCTGCAAAGTTGTCAAAGACCTCAAGCCAGTAGCTTCCAGACTGCAATGTGAAGCAGGTAGCCGAGAGGAAGCAGACAAGGCAGGCTAGCCCTGGGAAAAGTGGGTGGGTGGGGACACATGAGCAGGGCCTCCCTGTCTCCCTCATACCATTTTCCACCTCCCAACTCCTGTTCCTCTTGGCCCATAAGATCCCTAGGTCCATGTGGAGCAGCCTGACCCAGCCTCTTGCTGTGCTGGAGTATGGGGCATTGAGCAGAGTGGGCAGCAGACCCAGAGGCTGGACATGGGAATAGGCCCTGCAGGTGGCCAAGTGTCCACTCACCAGTTATGACCTCCTTGGGGACCCACTGAGGGAAGATGCCCATGTCTAGGAGTGGCGTGATGACACTCTCCATGTTCCCAAACATGGAAGACAGCCCCAGGCTGAAGAGCATCCCAAAGAAGAGCACAGCCCACACAGGGGCCCCCGGCATGTGCAGCACAGCCTCTGTGAAGACGATGAAGGCCAGGCCAGGGCCCGAGGTTCCCTGAAACACACACGGCCCTCGCTGTGGGCACTGACCTGGTCCTCGGGGACAAAGGCTCATTCTTCTTTCCTAGCTTCCACAAGTAGGAAGAGGGGTCCTGGGCCTCACAAAATGTGCAACCTACAGGGCTCCTGAGCCCACAGCCCCCATGAGCCAAGCCCCAGCCACCACCTGGGTCAGTACACCAATGGTGCGTGTTCCTCCCCATCTTCCTGGCCCCTAGACCTGCTGGCAGGACCCTCCTGAGACACAGGTGGGCTGGGGTCTCTAATCACTCAGCCTGCCCCTCAGGCACCTGGTCCAGGAAGTCCTGGAGGCTGCAGGCTCTCAGGGGCAACTGGGCTATCCTTCCTGGCTGGGTGGTGTTGAGATGCAGCAGTGCAGCCGGGTAGTTATCCCTGGAGATGCTTAGCTCCGGGAGGTTGAACTCATTGATGAGGCTGAGGATGTTCCTGCGGGGACAGTGAGGCTGGCCAGTAAGGCTCAGTGGCACTGGCCATGGGAGGTGTGGTGCTCTCAGGCAGCACATGGCAGGGCCCTTGTTCACCAGAGTGCCCAGGAGGCCACCTCACCCTCATTGTCTGGGGCAAGCACTGCTGTGTGGGCACAAGGGAAGCACGCACCTGTCCAGGCACTGCCCGTGGTCATTGGTCGCCTTGAAGCCCATGATGGCGAAGATGGTGATGGACGCGTACAGGGAGGTCAGGCTGTTGACCAGGGCGATGATCACAGCATCCCGCCTGCAGTTGTTCCTGGACACAAGCACCGGCCATCTGGGCTGCTGTGGACACAGCCGGCTTCCTGCCTTGCTGCCCCTGAAGCCTGCCTCCTGCCCCCACTCCAGTTGGTGGTGTCACTTGGCAATGATGTGGGTACATGGGGGCCTCCATGCTATTCCAGGTGACCCCTGTGAGGATACACGCTGCTTGTGTCACCCGCCTTTCGGTGCGTGTCATGCCCAGTGTGAATGAAATGTGAAAGTTGTCACGGAATGGAGTTGCTCATGTTGGTATGAAAGAGCCAGGAGATTGAAAGTAGTGTGTGACGTCTCGCAAATGACTGGGACAGAAACCTTGGTAAAAGACTTTCCACAGCCACAGCAGCAGGCCCAAGAGGACCCTGCCCCCAAAGTCCCCCCACCTGGCCCCACCCTTATTCACCCTGGACAGGAACGAGATTTCAGAACACGTCACCTCACCTCCTCACCTTGGCCTGATAACTTGCCCCTCTTCATCCCCTGTGGGTTTCTAGGTTGCCGGGGCACCCACGTTCCCTTTAACTATCTGCTGTCCCAGTGAATAGCACTGTTCTTTGGAGCCTGCCTGGCGGCTTTGGGCCCGACACACTTGAGCCTCCATCCGGCAACTGGCGCCAGTAGGGAGAGGCTTGTTGTGTTGTCCTGGGTGCCTCTGCCTCAGCCCCAGGTCAGGTGCACAACCAGGGGCCCCGTCATCCCATGTCCATCCCAAAAGAAAGAAGCACCTTGGCGCCTGTCACCAGGCCCTGCTGGCTCCATCACTGGCTGTAAAGATGTCCACACCCCAGCGGCCGCCTACCTGGGCGGGTTGTAGCTTGCAAAAGCAATGTGTCCTCCAAAGGCCAGAGACAGAGAGAAGAAGATCTGTGTGGCTGCATCCAGCCACACCCGGGGGTTCAGGAGAATTTGCACCTGGACCAGTTGGGGAGGCTCCATTACAAAATAGGAAAGCTGCCCGAGCTGGATGGACAGCCTGGCTGTTCTCGAACCTTCCCCAACTGCTTTGGGCTTCTAGCTGGGTGAGCTGCTCACTTAAGGGCAGCCAGGCCCTGCAGGGGGGCCCAGAATGTGGAGAGGCCACAGGGCCCTGTCTGTGCCCACTGTATTCCAGGTACCAGCCTAGGGCTTCTGCTGCCCTTAGACCTGGCCCTTGGCATTTGCCCCAGAACTGAAGGCCTAGCAGGGGCCACCTGCACACAGGCCTGGGCAAATCCATCTGTCTCTGCCAGGTCTCAGAGCAGATGTGGTGAAACCAGTACTGCCTGTCGCAGCTACTGGACCCTCATGGACAGTGTGAGGTGGCCCCCTGAACCTGAGCTCCTGGTGTGAGACCAGAGCAGGGTGTGTGACACCTGGGTGCCCAGCTGGCCTGCTCCAAACCCTGGTCGCTTCCCCCGGGCCCATGTGCCCCTCTCTGCCAAACATCCCATACGTGCCCGCGCCTACCGCCTGACCGCTGTCCTGTCAGCTGCTTCCACTCCATACCTCCCTTCCGCCCCACCCCCACTGCCTGGGATACACCACCCATGGGGAGTGCAAAGGAGGGGAGGCCGCCGGCCAGGACCACGTACATCGGGAGTGAACAGGTAGATCAGGCCTTCTGTCGCCCCAGGCAAGGTCAGGCCTCTGACGAGGAAGATGGTCAGGACCAGATATGGAAACAAGGCGGTGAAGTAGATCGCCTACAGGGATGTGGTGTGGGGCTGCACACAGGTACTCACTGGAGAAGCCCCAGAAAAACAGCTGGTCAAGAATTCCCCAGGATGCCAGCCAAATAGTTCAGTGGATTAAAGTGCCTGCAAGCAGGCCCAGGGACCTGGGGGTTTGATCCCAAGGCCTGCCTTGCTGGCCCTGTTTCCTGGGTGCACTGAGACTGCGATTGAGATTGGGCGTGGTGGCACACGCCTGTAATCCCAGCTCTTGTGAGGTTGTAAATAGGCGGATCACTATGAGTCTGATCTAGTAGTGAGACCCTGAACATCCTGTAGACCCTCCCCTAAAATACAAAAAAAAAAAAGAATTCCCCAGGGCCAGCAGCAGGCACTGGGGTCAGGTGAGATCAAGGTGGGGTCAGATGAAGTCAGGGTGGGGTCAGGTGAGGTGGGGTCAGCAGGCTCCAGCTCAGAAGTTTTAGGCTCATGTGAATGCCACATTTTTTTCATCTGGCCCTGACCTTAGAGGACAGGTCAACTCCTGGTGGGAGCCGGGCCTGGCCTTCTCCGTGGCTGCCTGCATCCCGGCTCATCTCCAGCCCCTACTCTCCAAGATTCAGGCCCTGGCTGTGCCACCTTCCCATCCTAAAGGCTCAGTCTCACACCATCCAGGCCTGTCTCCAGTGGGACGAGGCTAGTCCTGCTCAGGTAGGTCCACACCGGAGAGCTGCAGGTGGGGCTGGGGCAGCTCGGTGGTGAGCTGTGCCAGGCACAGATGGGTTTCTGGCTTCAAGCCCCAGAAATGCAGACAAGAGCACCTGCAGATGGACTTTGGACCTTCAAAAAGGGTGGTGAGGCACCCCCAGCTCAGTCACCTGCACCCCTGGGGAGGATTGACAGCTCAGCAGCAGGCTAGGATGCACCAGGGCTGGAGGCCGCAGCCCCATGCAAAGCTCAGGGACTGCAGTTGGGAGCTGAAACCCAATGTGTGGACTCTGCCACTGTCCAGAAGAACTGTGTGTGCCCAACACAGGCTCAGAGCTTGGGGCCTCAGTGTTACCCCAGCAGACACCACAGGGTATCTAGAGGACAGTGTGCCTAAAGCAAAACTCTAGCACATTTGCAGAAAAATGGGTCACCTAGAGAGCATAATGCTAAGTGAAATAAGCCAGACATATGGCTTAACTATTGCATGGATGTGCTGGGAGATAAGTCAGTGGCACAAGCACCTGCCTGGCAAGCACAAGGTCCTGAGTTCGATTCCCAGTAAGTACCAAAACCAAAAACACCAAAACTATCACGTGGTTTCTTCCACACAAGAAACCTAAAGTGTAAATAAATAACAAGCAAATAAAGGCTGGACAATAGGCAACATGGAGATCTTCTGCAAATGGGACCATGACCGAGAGGAGGGAGGGGACAGGCAGGGAGAGGAAGGGGATGGAGAGAGAATGATGCTGTGTGAGTCTGCGCCGACTCGCTGTGATGAGTGCGGTTGCTATATGCTGAAAACACACTAATACAAGAGTAAAAATTGAAAAAAGGGATAAAGCAAAACCCATGAAGGTGTAGCCACCACTGGCAGTGCTAAGCAGTGAATGGGGGTGGAGCTGGGGCAGGAGGTGCAGGAGAGGATTGGAGAGAAGTGGGAACCACTCTTTCCTGCGTGGTCTCCAAGGGGAGATGGGGAAAATGCAGATGCCGCTGACCACAGCCAGCCTCACTGCTGGGGACTCCCCACGTACGGCCATGGCCCTCAGGGACCCATTCCCAGGACACCTCCTGCCCTGGCACAGTCCTGGCCAGGACCACATGTGAGTGGGCAGGGCCTGGCTCGCTCACCTTGCCTGTGGTCTCGATGCCTCTGCTGACACACAGGTATACGACTGCCCAGCTGGCCGCCTGGCACAGGAGCAGCCGCCACTGCACAGCGCCGCTGTGGTCGATGTCAGCAGTGATGTTCAGTGTCTGCCGGTACCAGAAGTAGCTCACAGTGCCGCTGCTCTGGCACTCTTCCACCAGCCCTGCAAGGGAGCATCTCAGTGGCCATGGGCCTGGCCATCTGAACCATGTCCTGCCCAAGCACCACCACCCCTGGACCTGTGACATCCCTTCATGGCTATGAGGAGCCATCCATGGGGACCCGATCCCCTGAGTAGAGCAGGTGGCCTAGCTCCAACCCCACATTTTCCCATCCTCCCTCCTGTGTCCCCTCACCTGTCCTGTTGAGGTTGGGTGGGCAGGTACCCCAGGGCAGTGGCTGCTGGAAGGAGTTGAGGAAGTACCACAGCACCCACACCAGCACGGTGTTGTAGTACAGGCTGACCAGGAAGGACACGGTGAAGCAGCCCAGGCCTGTGCCCCCCATGCATGGGAAGATGAACAGCCACACAGATAAAAATGAAAGCCTCCCCCATCAGTTCAGGGGGCCTCCAGGATCCCCCAGTGCACAGGTGGTAAGCAGTCTGTCTGTAGCACGCACCTACTCCACCCAGGTACGGGGAGATGGCCGTCCACACCCCAATGCTCCCCCTCCGCAGGCGCTGGCCGATGGCGAGTTCGATGTGGAAGAGTGGGATTCCCTCAAAGACCAGGGCGACAAGGTAGGGGATGAGGAAGGCACCTGCAAGGCACAAGGTCTCTGCAGTCACCCCTGGGCTTGAACTGGGACCCCTGGCAAGAGTCGGGGCACCTGGTACCCACATGCCAGATTGGATGCTGGTTTGGGTTCAGTGTCATCACTGCTGACCATCACGGTTTGTCTTTAGGTGTCCCCCAAAGCCTCATGCAGTCATGGGCCGGCTCCTAGAGTTTGTGATTCTTTTTTTTAATGTTTTAATTTTTTTTAAATGTATTTAGGATAGAGTCTACAGGGTCTCACTATGTAGATCAGACTCCTACTGATTCCCCTGTTTTCAGCCTCCCAAGAGAGGGGATTACAGACATGTACCACCACGCCCAGTCTCAATCGCTATCTCAACGTGCCCCGGGGGTGGGTCTGGCACACCGGGTATTGGACCAGGTCCTGCGCCTGCCTAGGCAGGTGCTTTAATCTGCTGAGCTATCTGGCTGGCCCTTTGTGATTAGTTCTTTTTTTTAAATTTTATTTATTTGTGTGTGTGTGTGTGTGTGTGTGTGTGTGTGTGTGTGGCCAGCTCAGCCCACCAGGGGGCGGGGCTGGCTGGCATGTGGTGCTGGGGGATTGAACTGCGGTCCCTGTGCTTTGCTAGGCTTGTTCTAAGTAGGTGCTTTAGACCACTGAGCCATCTCACCAGGCCCATGTGGTTAGTTCTTGATGCAATGCTGAGATTGTGGGTGTGAGTGCTACCCCTGCCCTGGGGTGGGGTAGAATGCATTACAATGTAAGGAGGGGAGAGAGGCTTCTAGCTGCCGGAGCTGCTGCTCCACCCTTTGCTCTTTGCTGTTTGCCATCACCATGAATGATCACCCTCTGTCATGTGCACTCTGCCTTGGAGCCAGCCAAGTAGGAACTGATAGCTCTACTAACTATGAACTAAGTAAATCTTTCCTTCCTTAATTCTAGGTGTCGGGTATTTTGTCCCAGCAATGAGAGAAAGGTAACTGAAGCAAGAACCAAGTACAGGGGTGAACAAAGCCTGTGGCCAAGTGTCACTATACCCTCTCCTGGGTTTGCAGAGGGAGGCCCCACTGACATCCTCTAGGTGTGTGGGTATCTGTGGTTAGAACCAAGGTCTGGGAAGAACATGGGGACAGGTGTCCAGTACCTGTGATACTGCCTCCCAAATGGAAGCAGCCCCTGTCAGAAACACAGGTTCCAACCACAAGCTGACAGAAACGAAGGGTCCCTGAGCGAGGCTCCGGCTGGCCTCGCCACCCTTCCCAGGCAAGGGCTAGGTTTAGCTTTGGATTGCACCTCTCAACCACCTTCCCTCCTGCACTGCACCAGGTCCCAGGGCACTCCTGGGGACAGGATCCCCATGCCTGAGGAGTCAGAAAGGGCTGCGTCACCCCCAAACACATGCTGGCTCTGCTCCTGACACCACAAAGCCAGCTGGACAGGGACCCTGACCCCAGGAAGGAGCCTGTGCTGAGCCAACCCCAGCAGGACCTGCAGAGGGAGACAGTGGCCACGCCTTAGGCAGATGGCACAGGGCTCTGAAGCTGGCCAGCTGGGCCACTGCAGCCCCTCTGGTGAACTGTTACCATGACTCTACATGTCCCCTTTTACATCTGCAAGCAGATCTGAGGACAGTTGTCAGGTAGCCTCTGATCTGAACACTGACCCAGGCAGGCTCTAGACAGCTTCTTGTCATTCCTAGTAAGTAGCAGACCCCACTGCCCCTACAGAGCCAGCTTCCCTAGGATCGGCTGGGTACAGCCCAACCCAGCTGCCCAGCGCAGGACACAGGGAGAGTGGAAGAGATTGGCAAACAGGAGGAGGCAGAGCCTACAGAGTAGGAAGCCCACACTACCCGGCCAGGAGGACACAGTGTCTGGCGGACAGGCTAGTTCTGACTGCCAACCACTGACTGTTGTCCCCAAGCAAGCACCTGAGAACCCTGGCCAACACCCTTACATCCCACACCGAGGCCTTGAGACACTACTGTGGAAGAAAAGGCATTCTGTGGCAGGTAAAGCCAGCGGAGGCATGATGGGGCTACAGAGGGGACTGGGAGCCTTAAGAGAAGGTGGGTGAGGGAGGGAGTGTGGGGAGGAAGTGTCAATTACATGGCCACACTGGCTTCACACACACACACACACACACACACACACACACACACACATACACACACACACACAGAGGAACCCAGTTACCCAGTTGTATCCTTGCAGGAAGAGCCTAGGAAGGCTCACTGTAAAACTACAGACACCTACACTGCGGTGGAATCCACTGACCCCAAAAAGCCCGAGTCAAGGGGCCAGGGAGATGGCTCAGTGGAATAAGCTCTTCCCTGGCAAGCACAAGGGCCTGAGTTCAATCCCTGGTTCCACAAAATAAATAAATAAATAAATAAATAAAGCCCGAGTCAAGCACAAGGCAAAGATGACAGGTGGCCTCAGAGACTGCCACTCGCTTGGGCCAGCTCAGTGCCGTGTTGCCCTGGGAACAAGGCACATGGCAGCTGCTGCAGGGAGATCTGGCCCCACCACCTCCACCTGCTGTCCACACTGCTGTGGTTCAGAGTGAAAAGGACAAATAAACAGCTCCCACCAAGGGACACTTGGTGAAAAATCATTGTAAACCTTCTTGTCTGAATGTGGATTGGGGGATAGAACCTCAGTCACTCTACCACCAAGCTACAACCCTAGAACTTTAAAGTCTTTTTTTGGTAAAACAAAACAAACAAACAAAACAACCAAGGTCTCCATCAGTTGCCCAGGCTGGGTTAGAACTTGGGGTTTTTCTGCCTCAGCTTCCTGAGTAGCTGGTTTTACAGGCACAGGCCACTGCACCTGGATGCTGCAGATACGTTTTGCCACATTCATTACAATGTTGCTTTAACAATCCTATCTTTGAAGAAAGAATGTACACAGCTGAGTAATTATAAGTAGGAGAGGAAACATTCACCCTTGGTAGTGATGGATTCATGCAAACTGAAAATATGAACATCCCCAATTGTGTCTCCTTTTCTAAACAATCCATGATCATAACAGGACCTCAGAGGACACCCTCACCCTCTGGGGAGAGTACCAGCCATCAGGGACTGAACTATTTCATGACATTTGACCAAGCGATTTCACATCCGTAAACAAATGCCTAGGAAACAGCTCAAATGCAAGACCCCGTGGTATAGCATAATGCCCAGAGGGGGCCCTTCTTCCTTCCGTCAGGGGTGGGTACAGGCAAAGAGCTCCTGGCCTCGTGGCACACACAGGCGCTGCGGCTCAGCACCCTGGGCAGTGGTGCCTCTGCTGTCCCATTTCTGCGGCTGTTTCCCAAGGGCTCCACACACAACTTTCCAAGTCAGAAACTGGCCTTCACAGAGGCGGCTCCATATCACACAGAACTCAATCTGTCCCTGACCCTGGCTGGTGCTGTCCGCCTCACAGCCGGGGTCAGCCGGCCACTCAGGGAAGGCCCAGGTTCAGCACCTCGCCCTGAAGGTGACTCTGCCCCATTTCCCGTTGGAGAATGTTCCTATGACAAAAGCCAGAGGCATGATAGGGCCCCAGCTTCGGGAACCCCCAGACCTGGGCCCATGGAGCAGGGCTATCCCACCAGGCTGGCAACACTGAGCCCCATTCGCATGCACTCCAGGGGTGGTGGCACCTACCTGTCTCCTCCCCACCGCCCACCCTCTCCCCGCCATGACCTTGCACATGCTATGGGATGACCATGGGCGTCACTCTTGAATTAACAGGTTTTGGGGGGTTTAACGTCAACAGAGCATGGCCAACAGTGCTACGGGGCTGGTATACCCTGGCTCTGGGGAGACCCATTTCGGGGAGACTGGCCAGGGGGGGGGCTGCACCCTGAGCACCACACTGAGCCCCTGGGGAGACATCAGCCCCAGGTCCCCCACTCACAGTGGCAGGAAAACCTATGGCCACAGATTCCTCCCAGGGCTAATGGCCCTCAAAGACATGAAGAGAAGGGCGTGGGGACAACGCTGGGCTAGGACACCTGCTTTGAGTCCCGGACATGCCGGGGCGCAGAACTCCCAGGTGGGCCAGGGAGGACAAGACACAGACATGGTGCTCACCTCCCCCGTAGGTCTGGCACAGGTATGGGAACCTCCAGATGTTGCCCAGCCCCACAGCGAAGCCCAAGCAGCTCAGAAGGTACTGGAACTTGTTGTCCCACTGGGGCCTCCCATCCGCGCCTTCATCAACAAGCAAGTCCGGTCCCAGGGCCTGGGCCATGCTGGCTGGGCACCTGGTTCAGTGTGTGGGAGCTGGTGTGGGTGGGTTGACGCCTTGCTGGACTTGAGCCTGGGCACCTCTGAACTGGGCAGTGCCAGTTGTACTCTGGGTACATTTTCTCATTTATTTAAAGGAATTTGAATTTTTTTTTTAAAAAAAGGAATTCAGTTAATTGGTAACTGGCCCTGTTTCTAACACAACTGGAGTCTGTCCCCAGGGCCTGTGTACCCAGGCTTGTCCAGCATTTCACTCAGCCCTGCATAACCCAGCAGCATAACCTAGCATTGTTCAGCCGCAGCCTGCCACCCTGCAGCTGCCCTGGACTCCCAGGGATCACAGGTAGTGTCTGAAAGCTGATTTGTTCTGGTAGGCTGAGACAGAAGGACTGAAAGTTGGAACTTAACCTAGATGGCTCAAAGGCTCTGTCTCAAAACAATAGACGTTAGATTAAAAAGCTTAGTTTGTAGCTCAGTGCAAAGGTTTGGGTTCAGTCCCTGCCACTGTGTGACACACCTGCACACACATGCACACTTGGGCAAACACAAGCCAAACTCTTACTGCTGTGTAACTGAGCTCATAGCTCTAAGACCACAGTGATACACACCCACGGAGGTCACATGGATGCATCCCCGGATGCCTGTCTAGCGCCTGGCTTCTTGCAAAGGCCACAGCAGCAAGGCCGGATGTACTGAAGGCACCATGCCTGCCATGGACAGGAGTCAGAGGGCCGGCTCTGGCTCCCTCCTACCCAGCTGCTGCCAAGGGCCACAACATCCACACTCTTGCACCTTGCTACACCACAGGACAAGAGCCAAGTGCTCCTCATGTGCAGGCCTCCCACCTGGGGTCCATCCTGGGGGCCCTGCTGTGCTCCTGAGCTTGGGGTCCTCCCTCAGTGCCTCATCCAGGACCAGACTGAGGGCCCCAACCTGAGACTTTCACGTTCCAGGACTCTGGCCTCTCATGTATGACTGGAGTTTGAGCACATTTGTCCTGGATCATGACCTGTGGGTGACAGACCAGGTGACAGAAGCATTCAGAGGTTCAGGGAGTGGACTGGGGGTTGCAGGCACCTGGGGCCTGCAGGGAGGCGTCCCCTGGGGCCATTGGTCAGCTGCAGAGTGGGCACTGTCATCATTCCCACCTCCCTTTACTACCACCCCCACAGTCCCTTGTCCACAGCCCCTGTCACCTGCCTGAGGGGAGTGGGTGTCACCTGCCACACAATCACAAGCCAAGAGTGTGAGATAAGAGTGGTTTATTCAGACAAAGACACTTCTTGTCCACAAACTGCATTCCAGTCCCAGGCATGGACAGATGCATACAGAACACTGGGCTGGAGACAGCAGGCCAGGCCACCCCCATGAAGGCCACAGGACAGGTACCATAGACTCTCAGTTGCACAGCCCCAGTCAGGATCACACAGAGCTCTTTCTTGCTGTGCCCTTGGGACAGCCGGCCCCAGCCTCACCCCTCCACCTGCGGGACTCAGATCACTGTGCCCAGGTGTCCAGCTGGAGGGCAGAGGAGCCCACTGTGAGGACTCAGGTCAACGGCAGACCCTGAGTTCTAGTGAAGGAGGTGGCCAGTGTCTCTGGAGAGGAGACATGGCCCCGAGACCCATTCTATCATCCTTCGCAAATTCCCAGAAACCCCATTTCAATTTAAACTTAGATTTCCATGGGAAGCAAGATGACCATTGGTGGTGGCTGAGCTGGACCATCACAGCTGCCCTTTACGGGGAGGTCAGGTGCCTAGTGTGGCTCCCAGGAGGCATGAGGGATGGGGTGTCATGGTCCCTGTGTGTTGGGACCCAGGGGTGTTCCCAGCCTCCAGCAGAAAGTGCCGGGAGTCGTGCCCTCTCAGGAAACCCAGGGCGGGTCCTGCCCAGCAAAGCTGCTGAGCTCCACTGAGCTGCTCATCCGGCTGTGCAGCCGGAGAAATGATTAAATGGCTAGGAATTTACAGGTCGGACTCTGCTAGGTCTAGACCCGGGAAACCGGCCCGGGCTCCATCTTCTCTGCCTGAGTCTCCTCTCCTCCAACTTCTTGGACAGCCGAAGGGCCATGACCTCCACTGGGAGGTTGCTAGGTCTCAGCCAGCAGCAAGGGGTGGGTGCAGGTGAGCAGCCAACGAGGGCTGCTCCAAGGAGCCCTGGGCCTATACAGCTGGAGCAGCAGTGTGGCACGGGCCTCAGCTGTGGACCTCGGTGTGTGCAGGGCTGGGTGAGCCCACCCCAGGGGGGCTGGCCACAGTCTACACCCTGCCACAGCTGTGAGAGCAAGGGCAGAGGCAGCTGGGCCCCAGGGGTGGCTGTGTGTGCCACGAACATGTACATTTGCACACCTCGCCCGTGTGCAGTGGGCACACATACCCACATGTGTCTGTACATGATGCACAAACTCAGGTGTGATGCACATCCATTTATATGTACAGCACATACCTCCCACACTCTTCACACACATGTGTGTATATACATATATGCAGGTTTAGGCACGCATGTACAATATATGTACAACATATCCACATGCACACACTAGTGTTCACAATAAATATTCTCACACATATAACATGTGTGCATATGGACATAGGAACACAGAAATGCAGACATGCGCCTGTGTGCACATAAGCTCATATGTGTGCACATATACATACTCACCCATGTACATGCAACACATGTACATGCTGCCATGCACACTCAGACACATATCCACACATGTATGCATGCACACATACAACACCCTCACGTGCACTGCCTCCCCCACACACCTGCCCCTCATACACACTCGGACATATGCACCCCATGGGCCAGGCCCACTCAGCCCTTCAGGTCCCCATTCACGGAGATGGTGGACAGCGTGTTGACCAGCTCCTGGTGGTCCGATGGGCTCTGGTAGCAGCCACGGATGAGCTTGTAGACAGCGAAGCCGGGGATAATGAGGCAGGGCACCCCAGCCACGACCACCACTACTGCAGTCACCCAGCCTGGGTACAGCACCTTTTGGGACTTCGGGAACTCCTCCTGGAGAAGAGGTGGGGTAAGCAGCTAGCAAGCCCCCACACCCAGGGATGCCCACCTCCTGGTCCTTGTGGGTGGAGAAGAACCAGGCTACCAGTGCCTGCACCCCATCCCGCCTCACCCTCCTGGGGACCTGTGCACTGCTACCCGAGCACTCACATAGTTGGGGTCCCACACACTGTATGTGAGCTCCTTGTTGACCTGGATCACAAAGAAGAAGAGGAAGATGGCCAGCATGATGACCGGACTGACCACTCTCCACATGACCTGCCAGAAGATGTTGGGCTTGTGCCCGATCATGAACTCAATGTCCTTGTTGAACCTGTGGAAGTCAGAAGGGTGCTGTCACCTGTTGTGCCCCAGCCCACAGAGGCTTTCCATGCTGGATGACGACACCTAGGTGCTCTCCACAGGGCACAGGCAGCAGCCTTGAGGCCTCAAAGCTCTCACTGCCCCATCCAAAGCCACTGCCTCCATGTGGTGAGGGGTCGGGACTTGAGGGGAAGGAGGAAGGTCACCAGCTTGCCTCCCCCATCCTCCTTCCAGCTCCTGAGGCTGGATGGAGTCCCCACCCCCACCCCATCCTGTGCCCAATGTCCACATAGAGTTCCCTGTCGGTAGAAATCAGGAGGAACAGGCAGCGTGTATGTGGGTGGGGGTGGGGGGTATCTGTCCAGGGCCTCCGGGACCTAATGGATACAGGGTCTTGGACCTGATCGGCTGGGGGTATTGGAGCAGAGCCAGTGACGTGTCCCTCGGCCTTGTGCCTGCTGTCCTCATGTCGTTACGCTAACTGTCCACAGGTGCACAGCACTGAGGCCACAGTGCTGACCTGAGTCCCCACCCCAGCACACAGCCACCCCCACAGTTCCCACTGAATGTTCCTCACTGAGACCTCGGGATATGGAGACACTGATGGCCACTCCCAGGGCACAGCGAACCCCGTCACTGCCTGTCACTGCCCACCCTGACACTCCCTGTCCAGCTCCAGGGACCCGAGTCTCAGTGAGTCAGAAGAGGGGTCCCAAGCAGGCCCTGTCAGTGCGGTGCTCACGCTCACTCCATTATGCAAGTGCGGCTGTGTCTGGCCTGAGGATGCTCTGTGAGGTCTGGCTGAGTGGCACTGGATTCCTGGTGCTTACGTCCCTGGTCTTTGAGAGGCCTGAGCACTGCCCTGCCCTGCCAAGACTGTCCCAGTCTCTAGGCTTGGAGTGGGGATAGAGCACTCAGCTCTTCCCTGTGGGACATCCCAAGGCCCAAGCCCACCTGTGCCTGTCCCCCTTGCGCTGTCCTAACTACTCCCTGTGGTCCAATCCTGAGACATCATGGAGGAACTTTTGTTCCTGCTTCTGTCTTCCTTGCTGGCTTCCTGGGTTGCTAACACTACCTCTAGCTAACTTCTGTTTTGGGAGCTGGTTCTCAGATGGTAGGAAGAGGGAGGCGCCCACATGGATCATTTCCTGACTTCATGCCTGAGCCTCTCTGCTCAGACGATGCCAGTGTGCCCATGCACGGGAAACTGCAAACTGTCACAGCGGGAACCCATGCCCTGGCTCTGCCTGGGCAGGATTGTCATCACCCGCCTACCTGTCTACGCCGTACACGTACACCACGGAGAACATCTCACAGAAGGCCAAGATGAGCAGGGGGATGGAGCCTGCGTAGCTGTCCAGCAGAGACAACCAGTACTGGCCCGAGTTCAGCGTGAAGATGAAGGCAACGAGGTAGGTACCCAGGCAGATGAGGCCTGCAGGCCAACAGCAAGCAGGGCCAGCCTCAGGGCAGAGCTCAAGGCAGCCTGTCCTGAGTGCCTGTCCTGGCCCTGTCACACACCCACCTGTGAGCAGCTCCTTGGGCCACTTTTTGGGGATGATCTTGAGATCCTGCAGGGGCACGACCACGCCCTCCATGTTCCCAAACATGGACGAGAGGCCCAGACAGAAAAGCATGATGAAGAAGAGCACGGACCACAGCGGTGACACTGGCATCTTGGTGATGGCCTCGGTGAAGGTGATGAAGGCCAGGCCTGTGCCCTCCACGCCCTGTGTGGTCGCACATGGTCAGCTCAATGTCCTGCCTGCTATGCCTGTCCAGGCAAGGCAAGGACAGCTGGATCTAATCATTCCATGAGATTACTGGAGTTTATTTTTATTTATTTTTTTCCATAATTTTATTGAGAAACAAATAACAATGAGACAGTTTCAAGCCAAATTGGTAGGTCAGTTTCAATAATTAACACATTGCATACATTCTTCCTAGTGGTTAATTGCTGTACAAGATG